CAAAAGCCACACTGTAAAACCACACGACCCCCAGCAGACCCCACACCACTGCGCATGTCCAAAACAGGGGTAGGCTGCTGACCAGCATTGTTTCGCGTTTAACTTAGTTTAAATTACATTTAACCACATTACTACTAAATCAAATCATTACAGTACAGACCTGACAGTGCATGTAGGCATTTAGTTTACATACATATATGAATGTCAAGAAACATCATCAGTTATTAATGAAACAATTTTTAGACCAGCAAAGCCTTGGTATACAACACTGCACCAAGATATATTTCTTGCCTTAGTAGGGGGTCCCTCTGGGGATGACAGCTGAGCTTCATCAGTGATACTAAAAAAAGAAAAAGAAAAGAGAATGCCAACAGAAATGACCGAGTTGATCAAAACTGAATTTATCCTTCTGTTATTATAAAGTACTCTTGTGACTGATAATCATTGATTTGAGGGACATACTGTAGTGGCCTAACACGGTTCCTGTGTCAGACTATTTTTGGGAGCATTGTATTCCCCTAGGGCGAGTCACTCCACATGTAATCTACATGATAACTCACAGAACCTGTTTCTACCCAGGACTGTGGGTACTAGCAAATTGTCAGTGTAACCCAACAAAAAAACACGGGGGAAGAAATTAACGGAAGCGTTATAGCATTCCCTCTAAGAAAGTAACGAATGATATAACTCTGACAATTGCTTCATGCCATGGAATTCAGAGTTGAGAACCAGCCTGATCTGATCAGCTATTAAGGCTCACTTCTACAGACTTTGTTCTTATTTGATATGATTGCCCTAGATTTCTTTCAATGTTGGTTCAGTAACAACACAACATCACCCACATGTACTTGTATTTATAAATGTAAATTTAAAATCATCTTTGACATCACAGCTTGTTTGGTTCACAGTGTATTAATGTACATGCACAATGTATAAACTAAGGAGAAAACTAAACATTACYACTGTACTCYTGGGAGAGAAGTGGTGAGACTTTAAAGTGGTACTATGACRAAAATCCCATCTTTCCTATCTAAGCCATTTTAAAACATAAACAAGTAGTCTGTACGAGAAGAAAAATGCTGTTTACTATTTTCAAATATCTCTTTTCGTTCCAGAGATATTCAAGTTTTTAAAATATGCAAATTAGCCAAGTGATGACGCCATACACTCAACCAAATTTTCATCAAATATAATGAAGAAAGATATCTCAGCCAATTTGTATCAGAAATGT